GCACACCTTCGACTTTCTGAACATGTGCCGAAAAGCCTACGTCTCGATGAAACAAACTCTTATGATACCGCTATTACCAGATATCTCCTCGATACCAGTCATGAGGTGGAAATCTCAAAAACCTTTAAAATTATCAACAGACAAAGAACTTCGATTCTCCTCAAGTATACCGAAGCAATTTCTATCAAACACTTGAAACCAGATTTATGTGTGTTCAGAAAGAAGCAGTTATCAGTCTTTCCTTGTCCATTTTGGTAACCGGATGTCCTTAATCTTTCTTCGATTTGATTACGTAATCCTTGGCTTTAACCTCACCCCTTTGTCGTAGTGCAATTTCACTTGTCTCTTGTTACTACCATATGAAATGAACTCAGTACATTTTTACCGAATTTATTAGTCACTCAGCATCCTACGCATCTCTCGTCTTTATTCCGTAACTCCTTTACCATTGTATGCATGCATTTATTTTGTTCAAACTTGAACTGCCTGTGTAAAAACTATATAAACGCAGTTTTCTGAGCACTGTTCACCAATTGTGGAACTTTCTGTCAACTGACATTATGAAAAACAATTGCAAATATGTTAAAACGTTTCTGTACATAAACTTCATAATTTACTTAGGCTGTAAGCATCTGAGGTGATGAGAAGTCAACGAAATAAGCAATGATGGTCCCATATTATTCTGCACAAACCACTATATGATAAACAGGGGAAGAGATGAGGGTATCAGTTCCACCTTGTTAAATAGAGAATAATTCCAATGCTACTAAAACTTCAGACCTCAAAGCTCACAGCCCTATTTTCCACCTGGGAAGCAAAGGAATACAAGAACATTAAAATATGTGTGTATACAACTGACAATAACCAACGAAATATAATGACGTCTTTTGATCCCCTGCAATCTCCCCCTCAACAATGTGTACTTCTTAGCATGTTCAAGATATTTTCCTTTTCTTCTTCAAAGTGAACATTTTATGTGAATTGGCCAGTGAGTGTTTTCAGTGGGGATAATCAAACTTTATTATGTAACACTTTGAATACTGTTATTTTCATTAAGCTGGATAGTTCAACTGTTAAACCTTTTTAAAATGAGCTTAGTACTGATGATACCGTCTAGAAGGATACTGAAACTTTCGAAATCTAGACATTAATCCTGGAGAGCAAAAGAAAAGAATTATGCCCTGATATTCAGAGAAATTACAACTATTGATAGACACATAGATGCTAGATTTTACGATATAAGACAGCCTTGTTTTAGCCAACTGTTGTCGATATCCCCTAAGAATGATTGTTTATGCAGTACAAGTATTGATTTTAACAGCATTGAAGCCGAATTGTCAGTAGCTTTTTATTTGACAGTGGGATTACGAGTAGAATTTACGATACATATTTCGTTCCGTTTTAGATTCGTCAGGCTAATTTACAATTAATAGTGTTCTCTGAGCTGGTTGGTATAGTTGCGGAGCTTTCGTCGTCCTCCTGCTGGACAACATCCCCTTTCAGCGCAATATTTAGCATAAAGTGAAATGATTTAGATTTCTTGATGAGTGATATAATTGCGTCTCCTGGTAACTATCTTTACATATGTATTGACCATTTTCTATTGAATTGGATTTTAAACTTTCTCGTCACATGATTTTCACTTTTTATTAGTTGGTATATTTCGTCTATATTAACGTGTTTGTTAATCGCATATTCCTTTGAGTACAAGGCTTCTAGGAATTCCCTGGCACTGCTTCTGGTGTTTCCTCTGTCTAAGATTTTGACATTATCCCAATCAAATTGATGACTATAATTGTCTATATGCATTGATACGAAAGAACATATATCGTGTCTTTTCACGGCTGATTTGTGTTCTTGGATTCTAATTCGAAGGGGAAGCCTACTTTGGCCGATGTAATGCTTGTTGCAGTTCATACAATTTATTTTGTAAATAGTGTAAATTTTATCCCCTTTTTCTGTCGGATGGGTCTTTTGGTTTGCACAATATCGAATTAAGCGATTTCACTGGCTTGTGTGCTAAATCTATATCAAACGGTTTCAGTATTCTAGCTGTTATTTCAGAGATATTTCTCATGTATGGTAGAATGAATTTTCGTGTGGTTATTGATGATGGTTCTTCGTTGGTGTTTTAATTCGAATTTAAACACTTTTTGATGAAATTTTGTGGATAACCATTCTTTTTGAAGACCGCTTGTAGGTACTTTTCTTCCATTCTTTATAACTCTGAAGTGCTACAATGTGTTTGAACTCTCTTATGAACAATGTCTACACACAGTTTCGTTTGTGAGTAATTGGATTATTGCTGATATAGTTCAGTATTTGATCTGCGTGCGTTGATTTTCTATATACTTGTGTTTCTTAATCTCCTGTGTTGGTTCTCCTGATTACGACATCTAAAAATGGGATTTTATTATCTAAATCTTCTTCTCTTGTGGTGAATTTGATGTCTTCAAATATGTTGTTTATTAATTCATGAGTATATTCTAAATCACTTCTCGTAACTATTACAAATGTATCATCAACGTAACGTATCCACATTTTCGGATTAACTATAGGTAGATCTATTAATTCTAATCTTTGCATAATGGCTTCAGCTATTAATCCTGATATGTGCGATGATCCCATTGGTGTTCCCTTTTATTTGTTCATATATTTGAGTATTGCATTGGAAGTATGTTGTAAGGCATAATTTTATGAGTTCTATCCAAGTTGATCATTGAGTTTTGTATGTTTTCATCACTATAGAGTAATTGTTGCATAGTTTCTGTTGCTAGTTTTGGACAGGCTAATTTACCTGCAATTCAAATGAGTGATGGTTTCCTCACCAAGACTTAAATCCTTTAGAGCACTAAGTCACGATGGCCATCAGGGATCACTTGTTATTTGCGTAAGTGAATTAGGATTTCGCATTAATGATTTTCGCATAAAACGCACTTGATTTCACAACAATTTGCAAATATGTTGTCATCACTGGCTAATTAGATTTTTAAGTATGTCTTGACTTTTATTGTCCACAGAAGACGTGGGTTTAAACTGTTGATATAAGTATAAAACTTGGCCAAAAGCAAAATAAAAATAATTGTGAAAATAGTAGTGATAACATAAATAAGAGAGAATATAAGTCATCTACTGTAATACCATATAAGGAGGGGACATCTGAGACCCTTCCTACGTAGGATTCTCAATAAAGCAGGAACTAGGGTGCCATTCAAACCTACAAACTCACTCAGATAGGACAAGCTGTGTAGGTTAAAGGACCCTGCAGAATGACCCAATTGGACAAAATAATATAATTTACAAACTACTCTGCAATGACTGTGAGTTAGGTCAACTACATAGGTTAAACTAGTAGATCGAGGGTAGTCAGATTTCCTGTCAAAACATAAGAATTTAGCTAAGGTAGGAATGGTTGACCCCGATTGCATGTATGCATTAACACACAACCACACAATAGGGTGGGTGGGACAGAGTCAGAACTCTAAAGAGTAATATAGGTGGGTGGAGAGAGAGAGGTTGATTACTGAATCCTGGTTCATTGAGTCTACACCCAACACATGCAACAGAAATGATTCAACGCAAATTCCAGACATATGAAAGATATTATTACCACCAGTCAGACAGATCAGCGGAGAATAATATATAATCTCAAAATTCCATTTCAATTCAAGCAAGTCATAACATTCTTACAAGTTACTTATTTTCACTATAAAAACACTCGTCTTATTTCCCATCTGATTGTGATTGACCAATAACACTCATATTATTATTATTTCTGAATGTACATTATCCCATATTAATTTTTTTTCAAATATCTAATCATCAACTTTTACTCAAAAATATAAATGAAGCAAGGAATTTGTGTGAGTGAGTGGCTTGATATGATTATGAGTGACAATAGTTTGTGCTCGAAACGTTGTCATCAGTTAATATTACTGTGTAACGCTCAACTGTGTGATTTATCAAAATAAAATCTTATCCATAATGAGGTATAAATTGTTAATATATAAATAAATAAATAATCGATCAGAAATCATTTGTCAGTGTATACATTGGTGACTCATTGCAATCGATGTTTATATTGCAATGCATACAAGATAATCATAGATTTGAACAGACATTCGTGATACTAACGTCAAATCAGTCGGTTCTCTCTTTTATGGTCCAGGGACTTGGATTTCGCATCACCTAAAGCATTTCGCAAATTCCAGCTGCAGACTTTCATCAACAGCTACTCCCTACATTCGATAATGAAGGTCAGATAGGCAGAAAGGTTAGACCAAAAACCTGTTACGCAGTAAATATGCTGAGGGAAATGAAGACGAAGCAGGACATCCATTGACGATACCGCTGAATGATATCACGTGCCAGAGCAACCTTAGAGTGGAAAGTGTATACTGAATGACAAGTTGCGTGGGGATCCAAGAGTAACATGGGGGAGATCAATATACGCGGGGGCAGGAGGGATGGAATGAGAGCTAATGGTTACCAAATTTATTAGTTACTCATCATCTTACTCACCTCTCGTCTTTATTACTTAACTCTTTTACCATTGTATGCATACATTTATTTTGTTTAAACTTGAACTGCCTGTGAAAAAACTATATAAGCGCAATTTTCTGAGCACTGTTCACTTACTGTGGAACCTTCTGTCAACTGACAACATGTAAAATTTGCAAGTATGTAAAAAACTTTTCTGTACGTAAACCTCACAATTTATTTAGGCTGTAAGCAGCTGATGAGAAGCTGACGAAATAAATGATGGTACCATATTATTCTGCACAAACCGCTGTTGTTCTTGCTTTATTTAAAGCTAACGGACAGTCATGGAGCCGGCCAAAAAAGACTTCAGTAGACGGACCGAGTTCGATAATGTCCTGCTAAACCTCTATATTCCACTGGGAAACCATAGGAATACAATTCAAATAAAAATCTCAAATATAAACAGAATGTCAAAAAATGCTTCAGTAAAACAAATGCAAACAGTTCAATTAACTTACTAATTCAATCCAGTATAAAATTATCTGTGGATGGTTTGATTTGATAGCCATTTTACTAATAAATTTTTATTTATTGTTTTAATTGTTTTGAGAATGATGTGAAATGAATTGTGATGATTATTCCAAATTAAAAAAATCAATAATATCAACAATGCTGTCTCGGTTGACAGATGAACAACAGACAGTAGGGAAAATATATGTATTTCAGTGTTATTTGTACTTGTAGGAAATAATATCTCTGATTAACTGGACCTTTCAATGAAAATATACATACATCATATTTGTCGTGGAGAACTAAAGTGATGAAGTGACATCCACCAAACGGAATATATAATGTTTCTTTTAGCAAAATGGTTTCACCAATAATCGTAAAATCTGCATACCATTTTATCTATCCCCTAAAAGAATTACCAGTGATCAAGAATATTGTCCACCTATTGGTTGTTGATATTAACCAATCAGAAACAGCAACCAATCGACCAATCAACGTAGGATCTTCAAGGTTATTAACACAGGTTATCCAACGCATATCTATAGTTCAAGTTATCTGATTCGATCAGATTTGAATTCATTTTGATTCACATAACCACGAAGAGAATGAAAGTGTGAAATGTATTCATCAGGTGAAAACATAAATAAATAATAGTAATAATTAGAACAAGAAAATTTTCTCAGCGAAGAATTATGGTTTCAGCAACCTAGTTATTCAGGCTCTGAATGAATTTTAGAACACACAGATGACCAGTAAAGGTAAATGGAAATGATATCAGAAACTGTACTGTGGTAGAAGTGTACAAGATGGAATGACACAATCCGTTAGTTAGCCTTGTTAGTCAACCGAGTGTATATAAAAAGTAGGGTCACTGAGAACATAATCCTATAATGTGAATATCAGTTGCCAGCTACTTGGTGACTACAGTAGGAATTCGTGACCAGTGGAGTAAACCACATCTAGGTGAAATTGATGCTCATTGGAAGCACTAGTTGAGGTTAGCGTTATATGACACAAGTTGATGAAGTCAGACTTCACAGGAGTCAGTGAATTCCAATCTAAATAGCTGAATGTTCAACTAGTATGTCCCGGGTTACGTCCCTAGAGGTGGGGTAGTGGGTGGATACCGTTCAGCGGTTCTCAAAGTAGGACGAAATAAGTGTCCATTGCACCGTGATTTCCAATGATCTCTTTAATTGATCAAATAAAGTATAATTATATTTCAATAGTTTACACACAATGATAAGTTTTGTTCATATGAACTGTGATCAAAATTTGACCTCAGACTTTCAAAATTAGTCTACTTTTGTTAAAATATATATATGCGTATATGCAGTATACAATGGTGTGTGAGTGAACAGTCATAAAACATTTGTTATTCTCATATGAGCTGTGATCAAGATTTGACCGCATAGTTACAAAATAATTGAATTTTTTTTTACAAATGTAATATAATTTTATAAATTTGATATTCTCTCCATAAGAAGACGTAGACAATCAGGAATTTGATCAAGTATGACTAGTTGTTGATACATATCCAATTTATTTATTAGTCAGGATTTGCCATGCATCAGCTAACATCACACATTCATGTCTGTTCAAACTGTTCGGATTCACCCATATATGTAGGGCTTCTGCAGTCAGTCTTTCTTTACATGAACTAAAACATTTTTGTAAAACCTTAGTCTTATCAAAGTCGATTTTGTGTCCCGTTTCTATCGAATGCAGTGCAATCACTGAGTTGTTTTCTAGCTTCTTCAAATCTGCAGAGGTCTTTGGAACCAACCACCTTTAGACATTGCTTATGCTCTTTTAAAACAGTTAGTCCCTTTTATAAATTTTGATAGCATACTCTTTTACTCTTATATTTACCTGTCTGGAAGTTTCTCCTACATATACAGCAAAGTCACAATCCCCACAATTGATCTGGTATACACAGTTCTGCTGATTTTTTGTTCTATTTTATCCTTAACCTTCACCAGTAATGAGTGTTAGGTTTTTGATGCACGAAAATACACTCTTATGTTATGATCGTTAAGGATTAGCTTTATTTCGTGGGATGTTTCTTTCCGGTAAGGAATCACCGCTGTACTAACCCAGTTCTAAGCATCAGGTTTTGATTCATCCTTATCTTCACATTTTAAGTATCTTTTTATCAAGGCTTTAGGATAATTATTTGATTCAAGAGTGGACTGAACCAACTTTATTTCGGTAATATTTCGAGCAAAATTACTGCCCGTGTTCGCACCACTGTTGGAATTGTTTTGTTCACACATTTATGATTTGTACTCATATATATAGTTCATTCTTTTTTGCTCATTCATATTTTTATATCCAGAATTATATTCCAAGTTGTTGATAGTTGTACTGAGTCACCCTTGTTACATGTATCCGGTGTGACTTTAATGAATATCGATTCTGTTATAAGTCTTTATTTCCATTTGTTCATGTTAGTTTTTAGAATACACACATTGTCCCAATCGATATTGTGGTTTTTGTCCCATGCTGCATGTGCAGCTAGAGATGAATTTTTATTTTACAAATTCTTGTAAGCTTGTGTTCCTGTTGGTCGACCTTTAGTTAGGCAGGCGTTTATGTTCATTCACTCTTATTTTGAGTCATGATCTGGACGTTTGACCCACATATTTAATCGGAGAGTCAGCACAAGATATTTTGTAAATCAAGTTGTTTTTATCCATCACTTATATGGGATCTTTCATTTGATTTATTTTTTAAAAAATAGATTCGTCGGTTTAAATGTTGTGTGAATGCCGATATTGTTAGGTTTCTTCGAATTGCCTGTGATGTACCATTTTTGTATGGTATTGTGACTGTTTTTTTGTATTCTTCCGTCTTGTCATTCTCCGGCTTTATCCTCTTTCTTTTTCTCTTTTTTATATTATGTTTGATAATCCTTCGAAATGAGGACAGGAGTAAGACAAGGCTGCCTACTATCGCCAGTGATTTTCCTGATTGCAGTAGATTGGATAATGCGACAAACAGCTGGCAATCAGCAAACAGGCATAAAATGGACGCTAACGAAAAACTTGGAGAATCTGGACTTCGCCGATGATATATGTCTGATTTCCCACAAACTGGAAGATATGCAAGCGAAAAGCAACAAGTTGGCAGAAGAAGCATCAAAGATAGGACTTCAGGTGAACATGAAGAAAACAGTGGTGATGATGAAGATTCCTGGGCAACACCACCAACAGCAACAACAACAACAGACAACGATCAGCATAAATGGGAGGAACCTGAAAGAAACAACCTCTTTTACCTACCGAAATGGGAAGCATCTTTTCAAATACAGGCCGGCGGAACTGATGAGGATATCAACGCAAGAATCGGAAAAGCAAGACAGGCTTTCACTACTCTCAAGTCTGTGTGGAGGTCAACAGCACTCAACATGAAAATGAAAATAAGATCCGGATTTTCAACTCCAATGTGAAGTCAGTCAGTGCTACTATATGGATGGATCAGAGACTTGCACTGTGCGTCATAAAGAGCATGTCAAACAAACTACAGACCTTCATTAACAGCCAATTGTCTTCGCTCAATACTCAAGATCAGATGGTCAGAAAAGATCAGCAACAGAGATCTCTGGCAATGAGCGAACCAACTCAGCAGGAACCGATTGTGAAACAAATAGGCAGGAAGAAATGGAGGTGGACTGGATTGGCCATACTCTGAGGAAACCGTCAAGTGACTGACATCACTAGACAAGCCATCGCTCGAGTGGAACCCGACTGAATGGGAAGTGGCGAGTTGGTTGTCAGTGCAAGGGTTGGGTGACTTTGAGGAGGTCATGTGAAGAGGAGATGAGAACGTGTGGGCAGACTTGTAGACAGGTGAAAACTCTAACAGAGAACCAAACGCAATGGAGACGCACGACTGAAGCCCTATGTTCCTCTAGGAATTAAAGGTAACAATAATAATAATAAATTCTTTTGGGCAGTTGTTGAAGAAATGAAATTTAAAAAGTGATGTATTTATAGTCTGCAGACTGGACGACTCACTGGGGGGAGGGTTGACGGTTGAGTTATATTCGGTGGTGTGAGGGAAGCACAATTACCACAGAATATATACACACAAATGTCTTCAAATGATGCACACTGAATGTACATTCAACCGGCTGACAGATAACAAGTGTAATCAATAATTAAAGAGTTGTTAAATTGTGAACTGTAATCGAATAACAAGAACAAGATACGCTTGATGTAAGTCTGGAGGATAACTAATATTCGTCTTCAAAATAATGATGATTTGAAGTGAACTAGGTGAAGAGGAAAAGTGATCAGGGAATGAAAACACGAGATGATGACGTCTCTGATGACCTGTCTGATAGTAGGCCAGAAACGATGTACAAAGACGATGAGTGTACATTATTCGAAAGCGAATTTCCCAATGAATGAATGAATGAATGAATGAATGAATGAAAAACACAACGATATTGTTGTAGTTTCTACTAACATTTCGCCATCTAATGTTTCTGCTAATAGCTTTATCAAAGTAGTAGTATTATTAAACCAGAAGAATTTACAAAATCCACTCAGCTTATATACATAACAACTTAATCATCGTTCCTCAGCATCAGGTAATTTTCACGTGTTTGTCGAGTTGGCCAATTGGTAGAGATAACAAAACCAGGTAGGTGAAGATTTTCTCTAGTTTGGTTTGTAAGGGTTAGGTATGTTTTACGAGTTGATCACGGATTGATATCAGTTAGAGAACCATTGAAAATGAGGAAGTACTGGACAGCTGGTTGTGGTGGCGATAAATCACGAATTGGTAGAAGTTAGAATTCATGCTCTGGTCATTGAATCGGGTCCCAGTGGCTGAATATTATACCTGCTTGCCTTGCAACCGGAAGGTCCTGGGTTCGAACCCCTGTGGTGTGGGTGCGTACTGGCAATGATTCCCAAACTAGGTGGATGAAACAGCTGTCCAGTACTCCAGTGCTGGTTTTCAATGGTTCTCTAACTGATATCAATAGGTGGAGATTGTCAGATTTGATAAGCATGTGTTTACATAATGAAATTGCTTATCACATTCGTGTTGATTTCGTGATTTCACGGGGATGTGGTAACTAGGTCAACTTCTGTTTCAGTCCATCATTCCTGTTCACACAATTTGGATCCTATTTGATGATACGAAATGCTTCTGATTGATATTCGAGGTTGTTGGTGATTTCTGAAATTTTTTCTGGATGATGATTCCAATATTGTCGAAGTCAAC